AACATGAATGCATGTTAATTAATATGACATGACCTACTATAAATAAGTTGATTGGGATAATAGATTAAGAAACATTTGATTTAAGTGATGTGTTCAAGATCTCATATTAGTCTTGTTTAATTTGGTTTGTAAAAGAGCGAGATCTAAAAAGTAATATGAGATTTCTAAGAATGACTTTGTTATTAGTATTATATTATTTTTCACATTCTTTAATATTACTTACTACAAGTTCTTTGGTTGGAGAGAAATTAAGGAGTTGAACCCGATTTGGTCTTGTTTAACCAGTGCCCGATTGTTAATCTTGTGGAGTTAGTCCATAGAGATTGTATAGAGTGTCCGTTCGTCCGTTCGTCCGTGACGACTAATTTGGTTGTTTTGTTTTCTGGAGCTTCGCCCTTCCCTTTGTTGAAAAAATAAAATGGCTACTAGTTCTTTAATTCAAGTTTTTTTATTATCCGGTGGTGCCTTTAGTGTGTTTTACCTCTTTTAAAGTGCGTATATATATATATATAAATATATATATATATATATATATATATATATATATATATATATATATATATATATATATATATATATATATATATATATATATGATTATTTTCAAATACAAACCCCCCTTAAAATATAAACCTCTCTTAAAATACAAATAGCGTGCATGTAGGTATGTTAATGTGTGCACGATCTAATCCCAGATGAGATGGCGGCACGACCGCAGTGGAGAGTTAGTGATGGTGGATCAAAGCAACGAAGAGTTGAAAAGGAAGATCGAAGCAATAGAGAGCTGGCAAGGGAAGATCGAAGAAGCAAAGAATCTGTGATGAAAGATAAAAAAAATATAGAGAATCAGCAATGAGACAGTCGCACGGTTGTCGCACGGGAGGGGTGCATCATGAGACGGCACACAATCGTAGCACGGGATGAGTCCGTTAGACTTGATCAAGATTCTATATCTATATATAAAAGAAATTCTATAACAGGAAAGAAAAACTTGTGTCTTTAAAATTCCCAACAAATTAGCCACTAATGAATTGAATACAACAGCCATTCATTCAAGCAACACCACAGAAGAAGGGTTTTCAAAATTGTGACAATTTCATTAATTATTATGGCAATTTTATGGTAATATATTTCAATATTGGCAACGCCGAGTGCTTTCAAAGGGCGGGAATGCAATTTTGATATCCTTAGTCTTGCAGGCCATACCATTGCACTTATTCTCGGCCTGCGCGCTGCCTAAGCAGGTCTTACGGGACTTGGAAAGATGTTATGCTCGCTTATTCTGGAAATAGTCAGGCGGCGCCCGGTATCATTGGAGTTCTTGGAAAACTCTTTCTCGTCCTAAAAAGGAGGGGGGAGTGGGGTTCTTAGACTTGGATTTGATGGTAAGGGCGGCCAGTGCCAAATTGTGGTGGAATTTCCGGACAGAACACACGCTTTGGTCAGATTTTATGAGGGCTAAATACTGCCGCCGGGTTCACCCGGTTGCTAAGTTAGTCCAGACTACTGATTCGCACACCTGGAAGCGGATGTTGACAGTACATGATGAGGTTGAGAGGGTTCTGACTTGGCGGTTGTTCCAAGGCCGGGTTAATTTCTGGTGGGACAATTGGTCAGGTCTGGGCCCGCTCGGCAGACTTTATCCACACCGGGGGGTTTCCTACTCCCGGGATTTGCTTCTAGACTGTGTGCGGGATGGTGGGCTTGATCTGGCTGGCCATGGTGACTTGGATTATGCAGGGATTAATGCGACTTGGATGGCCATGGTGATCTGGCAGGGCCCGCGTGATATCCCGCTCTGGACCGTGGCGTCCGATGGTATGTTTTTTTATTCCTCTGCTAAGGCGTTTCTTAGGCCTGCTCTGCCCACTACACCGGACCCTCTCTTAGCTATGTGTTGGCGCAAGCACCTCCCTTTTAAGGTGTCCTTCCTGGCTTGGAGACTGTTCCGAGGGCGGCTTCCTACGGATGACATCTTAGCTCGCTTCGGTCATGTGATCGTTTCGAGGTGTTGGTGTTGTCCGGCCCTGGTTCCTAAGTCTATTGATCATATTTTTTATTCTGGGGAAACAGCAAAAGCTGTCTGGAGATATGTTTTGGCGTCCCTTGGCCTCTATTCGCGACACCGGAGTCTTAGGACTTTGATTGTGGGATGGGGTCGGAGGGGGACGCGTAACCCTCTTTTGTCTTTTGTTGTTATCATGTTGCCGTATCTGGTATTGTGGGAGCTGTGGAAGCACCGTAATGGTTGCATGCATGGCCGGGATACTCCCAGCATTCCACGAGTGATGCATGGGGTAGCAAAGGGGGTGGCGGAATGCCTGTTTAGGCGGTGGCCTATGCAGCATATCCTGCCCTCTAACTGGAGGACTGTTGTGGCATACTTGGAGGCACACGTGCCGAGGCGTGTTGTTAGGACGGTCAGATGGTCTCCTACTGCTGCCGGTGCTTTAAAGATTAATTTATCTTTGTCTTTGGTAGTAGGGGGGTTGCAGCCGTGGTGCGCAACCAGGAGGGTGGCTTTTGTTATGGGGTTGCGTGGTCTGGACAGGGGGAGCACGCTCAGGGCATGTTCCGGGTCTTGTTCTCCTGCCTGGAATGGTGCCTGGCCGGGGGAAATACAGTGTTGGATATAGAGTCCACGTGGGCGGAGTTGGCTAGCTATGTTGATGTTACTGTCCGTCCGCCGTGGGTTCTGGATAATGTGGTTTCCAGGCTCCGTTTCCTGTGTTCCTGTGGGGTAGTTACTGCTGCTGTGTGCCCGTCTAGGGCCAATCTACCTGCACAGGCGTTAGCTGATTGGGTGGTTGATAAGCCGGGGGAGGCTGTCTTTCGGAACCTCAATGATCTGCCGCGTAGGGTTCGTTCGTTAATGGTACATGATGATGTGCCCTATGTGTTTTTTGAGATTGATGATCCCCCGTGATTGTGTTAGTACTCCTGCTGTATGTTAGTTTGAATGTGGAAAAAGAAGTAATGAAAAGAAAAAGAAAAGAGAAAAAGAAGAGGAAAAAAGGAATGACAGAAATAAAAAAAATAAAAAAAAAAGAAGGAATAGAATGAATGAAAAAGAAAAGAAAAAGAAGAATGAAAAGAAAAATGGAGTGAAAAAGAAATGGAGTGAAAAGAATTGGAGTGGGAAAGAATTAGAGTGCAAAAGAATTGGAGTGAAAACGAGAGTTGGAAAGGCAAAAGAAAGAGTTGAAGTGAGCTTTAAACAGAGAGTGTGTGAGGTCTTTGGAGGCCATGAAGTCCTGCTTTCAGGATCGAGCCTCAACGTAAGGTGTTGGCGATACAACATGGCACCCTAGTCCGGGCTGAACGGTGCACCGGGCAGGACTAGTCAAATCCGTTGACCTGGTCAGGCTTGCTGCTGGCCAATAGTAGCTGAGTTCCTTCTGGGCTCCGGGGGGGACGGGCTATTATTTGGGGGTTGCTTTTTGTTCGTGTCAGCCTTTTAAAACCTTAAACACTCAACCGAGGTAGAAAGTTGAAATAGTTGGGTCATGGGAACAGGATACTTGCTTGTTCTACCTTGTTTCTATTTTTGCAGGTGCTGTTTCTTTGACCTCCGAGGCGTGTGCTGGTCTATAGGCTGTTTTGGTTTCGCCTTTGCAGGCATTTTTGAGATAGACCAGGCCTCAACGTTGGTCCAAGCGGTAAGAAATTGCATCCTAGCCCGGGCTGAACGGTGGCCGGGTAGGGATTTTTCAAATCCGTTGGCGGTAGTCCAGGCTTGCTGCTGGCCCATAGTAGCTAATCCCGTTAGGGTTGGTTCTGGTACATGCTGGTGCTGATCGGGAGTTCCTGCTATTGGCTGCCTTGTGCTTTGTTGTTTTGATTATTGGCCTGTGATTTACCATGAATCAGTTAGACTTAGGCCTGCGTGCTATTGTTAGGCCTTCTATGGGTGGTATTTTATTGCTTTTTACAGGGCAGTCAATAGTATCACAGGAGATGTTACAGTCGTGGTTGCAACCCGGTTAGGTTGCATTATAGTGCAGAGTCGCTGAGGTGCAACTTGCAGGGGGACTGCTATGGCTGTGGCATGCAAGGTGTCTGTGCCTTGCTATTGAGCTTCATGTTTATATGGTGGACCGTGAAGCAGTTGGGCTGCACGATTATTTTTTGGGAGCAGCTTCGCAGTTTACTTAGCTTGAATTTATATTCAGATGGTTTATGCTCTATTATGCATTCTAGTTAGCAATAGCTAGTATGGGACTTGGGGCGTTTATGTTAGAGCCCCGGGGGCCTTCTTTATGTAATCTCGTTTTATTTACTTTACTTAGATTAGTTAGTTGGATTTAGGCCATGTGAGGCCTAAGTCCTTGGTTTTTGTATTGGCTTAGGCCATTTTTTAACTTAATAAAGTTCACTTTAAAAAAAAAAAAAAAAAAAAAAAAAAGAGAACAAATATTATAATTAATATAATTAATTAAATTATTGTGGTAATTGTCACAATATTTGGTAATTATAATTTATTTAATTAATGAAATTGCAAAATATAATATTTCTTCCTGATGAAGTATATAGTGCAATGGTGCAACTTATCAACAGATGGAGAACACAGTCAACACCAAGGGTCAAGCTCCAGGGGCTATTTTTGTCCTTCTTTCTTTCCTGGCAGTTATAACTGCTTCTTTCTTATCTCTGTATATAAGCTCATGTTGAGCTTCCTTCTTTCTGTTCAGCAACTTTCCTTTCTTTTCTGCCTAGACTCAAGTATGCTTTGCTCAATAATATGGTTGGTTTTCATGCATGATCTGAGCTAGTTTATCATGGTATCAGAGCGCTGTAGCTACGTAGAAAATCAGAATAACAACGACGGAGGCTCGACAGAACAAGCTGAAGCCGGAGCTTCTTCGAGTCAGATTCCGATGAATTTCGATCATGCACAAGAATTCGACAATCCTTGGAATCTTCATATTATGGAGAATCCTAATTTGATTCTCGTCTCTCCGCTCTAGTCTGAGGTGAACTATGCGTCATGGAGTCGATCAATGAGGATTGCTCTCGAAGTGAAGAACAAATATGGATTTGTTGATGGATCCATGGTTAGGCCTGAGGAAACTGATCGGAGATTCTCTTTTTGGAAGAGGTGCAACAACATTGTCTGCTCGTGGATCCTCAAGTCTCTCAGCTCCACGATTGCAGAAGGAGTCCCGTACCTTGAAACTGCATCAGATGTGTGGAACACTCTGAAGAAGAGATACTCTCAGATAGACTCACACAGGATTGCTGAGCTGCAAAATGAGATCTATCGATGCTCACAAGGTAACTTCTCAATCAACGAGTATTTTGCTAAAAGCAATTGTTTATGGATGCAAATGAATGCTATGAGACTAATTCCTGCTTGTGAATGTATTCCTAAGTGTACCTGCTCCTTAGTAAGTAAGATACAAAAGGAAAAAGAAGAGGATCAAATCATTACGTTTTTGAAAGGCCTAAGTGAAGAATATGAGAGTATTAAATCTGCAATTCTTGTTATGGAACCTATTCCTGCCCTTGAGAAAGTGTCGAGTATGGCTTTAAAAATTGAAAGGAAAATCAAAAACTCTTTTAATCAAAAGAACAGTGATATAATTCAAGCAAATGTTCTGCAAAATGGTCAAGATCAGTATGAAGAAGAACAACCTACGGTGGCAGTCTCAACCCTAAACAATAAGAAAAAATACAATAATGGCAGTGGAAATGGGAATAGATCAGGAAAGAGTGTGCCTAAGTGTACTTTCTGTAGAAGACTTGGTCACATTATTGACAAATGCTACAAGAAACACGGTTTTCCCCCCTGGCTAGATCCAAGGATATAAGTCTATAACTAGATAGACTCAGGACTCACAACAGGCTCCTAATTCCCTTGTGAATCAGGTTGGTGATGTAGGTCTCACATCTGAACAATTTCAGAGATTGTTATCTATATTGTAGAATCAGAGCTAAGGGAATCAAGCCTCAACTAGTGCAACTGTGACTGTCAGCAAAAATGGCCTTAAGCCAGATTTCAAAAACTCTACTGAAGGCAGGTTCATCTCTAATCTCCATATTAACAATGCCTTGTTTTCATCAAGTGTATGAATTCTTGATTCTGGTGCAACAAATCATATTATTTGTTCTTTAGAATTTTTTGAGACATGCCATGCCATTCATGAAGTTTCTGTTAAGCTGCCTAATGGGGAAATGATGAATGTCTCACACATGGGACAAGTTAGGCTAGACATGAACATATTACTGCAAAATATTTTGTACATACCATCCTTCAGTTACAACATTATATCTACAACTAAATTGATAAGGAAATCAGGTTATGAAATTATTATGAAAGCTGAGTCTTGTAAAATTCAGGGACCTCTTGGGTTAGTGGATGGTTTTGCTAAAGAAAGAAATGGGTTATATCTGATAAACAACCCCCTTGTCAAGAAAAAGACTTGTAGTTCAGATGAAGTTTTTAGATCATGTAACAGTTTCTCTTTACAACTGTGGCATGACAGATTAGGCCATTTTCCTGTAAATAAGATACAATTGTTGAAAGGAATAAAACTTGCCTCTTCTCTAAAACACCCTAATTTTGTTTGTGATGTATGTCAATTCGCAAGACACAAAAGATCCATAATCCCTGTCAGTGTTAATAGAGCTAAGGCATGCTTTTATTTGTTGCATATGGATGTTTGGGCCCCTTTACTATTGCATCCCTCAAAGGGGAACATTACTTCTTGACCATGGTAGATGATCATAGCAGATTTGCCTGGTTGGATCTAATGAGGCACAAATCAGAAGTGAAGCCTATTTTTCAGAACTTTTACAATATAGTTTGCACTCAGTTCCTAGCCAAGATCAAGGTTGTTAGAACATATAATGGTGGTGAATTTATGATGAATGATTTTTTTATGAAACGGGAATTCTACATCAGAAATCTTATGCATACACACCCCAACAGAATGTGGTGGTAGAAAGGAAACATCAGCACATTTTGAACATTACAAGGGCTTTAAAGTTCCAATCTGGACTGCCTGACAAATTATGGGGGCATTGTGTTCTACACTTTTCTTACTTGATCAACAGGCTACCTACTAATGTTGTAGATGGGTCCACTCCATATCATGTTCTATTTGAAACAGACATAGATTATAGTCAACTCAGATGAAGTATATAGTACAATGGTACAGCTTATCAACAGATGGAGAACACAGTCAACACCAAGGGTCAAGCTCCAATGGCTATTTTTGTCCTTCTTTCTTTCCAGACAGTTATCACTGCTTCTTTCTTATGTCTGTATATAAGCTCATGTTGAGCTTCCTTCTTTCTATTCAGCAACTTTCCTTTCTTTTCTGCCTAGACTCAAGTATGCTTTGCTCAATAATATGGTTGGTTTTCATGCATGATTCGAGCTAGTTTATCACTTCCGTGGAAATATTTGCGGCAATTTCATTAAGTTATAATTAATAAAATATGAAATATAATTAAGAAAATGAAATTATAAAATTAACAAAATATGTGTTCATAAATACTTAGAAATATTTTTAAATACATATATACACACTTATTCACTATATTGATCATACAAAATATAAGTGCTATTTTTTTTTTAATTTTTAAATGTAATTTTTTAACTTATAAATCAATCAATATAAATTATAATTAATAAAATTATATTATAAATTTTCCTATATACATATTAATAAATAAATATTATGTTTATATACAATGTATTATACAGTCATATAAGGAAATGCGTCCGATTATATTTTAAACTTACTCATACAAAATTTAAAATTTACATTTTTTATTAATTTCTAAGTATAATTCTCTTAATTAGTTATTATTCATATTCCTAGAATTATAATATATATGAAATACAATTAGGAATAAATCAACTTAATTATGTGAATGTTATCTATAAATTTATCTAAATATGTATATGATTAGAGATGATATTAACCATACAAAATTTTAATTCTAATTCTGTATGCTATGAAAATAGATACTTCACCAAATATATAAAAGTCTAACTATATTATTATATTGTACAGTTTAATATTTTTTCATTCTTCTCCATTTTTTAAAAATTTAAATTAATAATACCAAAAAAAAAAAATTGTGCATCACACACGTATAATACTAGTACATTAATATAATAAGGACCGAGTGATCAAGAGAAATGAGATTTGAGAAATGATATAGAGCAATTAGGTTAATAAAGAACAAAAATTGACTAATTAATTGAGAGACGTATTTGAATTATTTTTAACTCATTCTACAGTTTCAATATATTTATTTTCTATATTATTACAAACACACAAACTACAAAAAGATTTAAATTACCTCGGTGTAGGGGTAAAATGCTCAAATAGGTATTAGAAGTGGGCTTGAAATGCAAAAGTAGTAGAGAGCCGGCGATTATAAAGTGAAGCAGCGCGCGGGGAATCTTTGATGGTGGATCAAAGCAACGAAGAGTTGAAATGGAAGATCAAAGCAATAGAGAACCGATGGTGCAAGATCGAAGAAGCAAAGAATTTGTGATGAAAGATCGAAGTAGTAGAGAATCAACAATGGAAATTTGAATCAAAGGAGAGTATAAAATTGAAGCACTGGAGAGTCGATGATGGATGATCAAAGGTAAGCAACAATGAGTCTTAGATGGAAGATCAACTCAACAGAGACCCAATGGTGGAAAATCGGAGCAATAGAGAGCCACCGATGAAAATCGGAGGGACAGATGCATCATGAGACGGCCGCACGATCATGGCACGCGAGAGGTGCATCATGAGACTGCTGCACGATCGTCGCACGGGAGGAGTCCGCTGCCCATGATCAAGATTCTATATATATAAAGTAAATTCTAGAATAGGAAAGAAAAACTTGTGTATTCAAAATTCAGAATGAATTTGCCTTGATTTCTTTAGCATACTACAGCAAGCTATTTATAGTCCAATAGATTAACAAATTAAATTCCCTACAAATTAGCCACTAATGAATTTACATACAATAACCATAGATTCAAGCAGGACTACAGAAAAAGGGTTTTCACCAATCAGCACTGGCAACATTCTTGAAAACCTCCTCTACCCTCTCCCCGCCGCTGTGTGCCTGGATCTCCTCTTCCAAATTTTTAATCACACCACTCACCTTGGACACCTTGTACAGGAGATCTTTCATCTTCGCTTCAGCTATGGCTTTTTCTTTCTCCTTTCCGGCAACAATTTCCGCCCCCTCGCACAGCCTAATCAGCTTGTTTATCCTGCCGCGCAAGAACCCCACTTCCATGCTGAAATGCCCCACTCCAATCAGAGTTCTGTCCCATACTTCCAAAACATCACGGCCCGTTGCGAGCATGGCTGCTTTGATGCCATCGGCGATTTTCACAGTTTCTGTTATTGCCCCGGCGATTAGCGTGTAGTTCAACCCAGGCTCTTCAAGCTCATGAAGATACGCGTTGCGACTGCGGCACAGCTCGTTGTACTTGAGCCTGGTGTCTTCGGAGATCTCAGAATCTATGTTTAGGTTGTTAACAACAACGTGGAAATCCTCAAAGTTTTTCACTTGTGAAAAGTCAACCACATTCATAGGCTGCAGGGGGCTGTTGTCTCTATCACTGCCAGATAATAAGTTGTGTGATGTAGAGACTTCTCTCTCCAGATTGTCACTTTCATGCTGTATTCTGGTTAACTGATCTGCAGCATCTTCAATTCTCAGCACATTTTCCTCAACATCATAACCTTCCAGCAGTAAACCCTCTGGAATAACAAAAAAAGTTATGCGTATATGGTTCAGTCCTAATGAATATTATATATGTTGGTTTGTGAAAGTTGGCATAGTTTGGATGGATGAATAACTAGAAATTGTTATTCATTCAGTGCGTAATATAAATCCTATATTGATGAGATATAAGATATACAATATATTCTTTAGAATAATACCAATATACCAGCCAATGACCTGAAGTGACTGTCCCAAATGGGAGGTCATTTGGGTTCGAGCCCTAGCGGGGCGGTATTGACTCTTTGTACTTCAATAAGTTGTGAAAGTAGATATGAACAGATACTATATTGTAATAGATCGAGTCAGTAACACTCAAATGCAGGTCTAATGTTGATGAGGCAATGCAACACAACTGAGAGCAAAAGAAACAAGCTAAGGAAAGCATACCAGTTGCAATTGGCTGTGCATAATGACTTAAATCCAGAAGGCTGATAGCACCAGCAATATTTGCCGAGTCATTTATCCGAACAATGTACAGCTAAAACAAGGAAAAGGAATAAAAATGAGGCTAATTCCTTGAAGCTACGCAGAAGAAAAGCTATGGAGGGTGGATGGGGTTACCTACCTTAAGCTTGAGAGGTTGGATTAGCTGAAAAACTACAACATCCCCGGGAACCAAGTTGTGTTAGAGGGGAAATCCTCTCCATCCACCACTCAAGCCATGCTTCTCAATAAGGTACTTGCTCGCTGTTTCTCTTCCATTTTCATCCACCAAAATAATGGCAGTATCATGGTTTGGAAGATGAGAAGTGCAGAAATCTTTTGGCAGACCCTATCAGATCATTATATTATATTTGAGAATGATGGCACAGTGATAAGCATGCTTAGATTACTTTATTTAACCTAATTAACACCAAAGAGATATGGTTATGTGGGCTTACCAACCAAAATCCACTAGTAGTATGAGAATGGAGCAAGAACTTGACTACTACACTAGGAAATTGAGGTGAAAGATTTGCTTGAAGTTCTCAAGCTCTCCTCATAGCTGTGGAGTTTTCATCAACACACCCATACTCCCTCCTAGAACCTTCACCTTTAGCCTGCTCAAATAGTGCCA